ATGCATTAAATCCTGAGTGTGCAGCTGCTCTGCTCTCAGTCTGTTCTGTTAACGTCAGGAGAAAACAACCAGGTCGCAACGAGTGGAGATGCTGATCTGGAGGTAATGTGGGCTGACGACGCTGCAGGTAGAACCGCTCAGAGCTCCGAGGAACATCTGGTCCATCTCCTGACAGGTAGCAGGAGGCTTCAGCCTTCAGCCTTTACAGCAGGAGCCCTCAGACGTCAGGATGTTTGGCAGCGATGAGATCCAGCGGAGCTCACGTTTCCTTGTTTACAATCCACCGAGAGCAAACAAACAAACGAGTTCAGGATGTTTGGCTGAAAACAAACGGATCCTGACGTACTCCTGCTTAAGTCCGTTTGGCTTCACAGAATCGGGACTGGAGTCGAGCAGCTGTTCTCGACTCAGACGCCGACGACTCCTCCGTGAAGCCAAATGAAAGCCTCCCTGATGAACTGCGAGCGGTGTAACGTTGGTAACGTCGGCCCGGAGCCGCCGAGGCCTTCGATCAGGCGGCTGCTGCACTTTACAGTCAGACAGTCGGGCAGCAAGTTGATCCCCGTCGCTTTGAATAATTCATCAGATGAATTATAACGTTCAGACTGGACTCCTGAGGCTGGAGCTCGACGCTTTGCTGAGAGTTTAAGGCGTCTCAGAGGAGAAGCTCTCGTCTAAACGGGGAAACGTTTAGAGATAAAGACCCTGAAGCTCTTCACTGGACACCTTCACACCTGACAGACTGAAAACAAAACAAGAAGTCTCCTGTTCCCTCCCTACAGCCGGCTGCTGGCATGTCACACTTGAACTTGTTCTTTGGCTCTTACCCAGGTTCGTTGTGTAATTGTAAAATCACGTGCAAGAACCAGATGTTGAGTAGGTTAATCAGCAACAGGCCGGGAACACGTTCAAATATAAAAACTACACCTCAGAGGCGTTTACTGACAGCTCCCAAACGCAGGAAAGTCCAATTTCATTCTGTTCTGTGGTTGCTGGAGGTGTAAAGTAAAAGCTGTTAAGATATAAAAGACATTTACTTCTGATATTTGTCTTGAAAACTGTCCAGAATGACTCAAAAATGACCTACAATGAGTTCCAAATGACTCAAGTTTCATCCAAAATGACAAAAACCGGTTAAAGATAAGTTGAGAATGTGTCCACAATGACTCAGAACTTGTCCAAAATCAGGTAAATGTGCTCAGAACATGTTTAAATTGACTTCAAACCTCTAAAAGGCCTGAACAAAACTCAACAAACGTTCTGCTGTCGGCTGCAAGAGTGAACACAACATTGTTCATGCGCTCAAACGTGTTCATAATGACTTGAAAACTGTTGAGAATGACTCAAAACCAACACTTAAGTTTAATAAAATGTGTTTAAAATGTACTCATAGTTCCTCCGACTTGCTCAACATGACTGAAAATGTATTTGTCCACAAAGTTTGTCCACAGTCACTTAAAACTTGACGAAAATGACTCAAAATGAGTCCAAATTTTACCTAAAATGTGTCTGAACTGACCTGAAAACTCAAACCAAACCAGATGTTTTACTATCGGCTGTAAGAGTGAACACAGGAGTCTTCGTGCACTAAAACTTGGCCAAAATTATGTAAAAATTTGTCAAAAATGACAAAAACCAGCTGCAAGAGTGAACACGAGAGTCTTCATGCACCCCAATCAGCCCAAAATGACAAAAGCAAGTTCAAAATGACTCTAAACGAGTTGAAACTTGTCCAAGATTTATCAAAACGACTGAAAATTGTTGCCAAAATGATTCGTATCTCGACCAGCATGAATCAAAGTGTTTTCAAAATGACTTAAATTTGTCTAAAATAACTTGAAAATGTCCAGAATTCATGAAAAATGACTCAGAATTTGTCCAAATTGACGTGACAACTCTACAATGCCTGAACAAGCAACAAAGCTCACCTGTCGGCTGCAAGAGTGAACACAACAGTCCTCATGCACTCAAACGTGCTCAAAATGACTTGAAACTTGTCCACAGTGACTCAAAAGTCATCACAATGAATGAAAAATGTGACCAACATTTGTTCAAAATTACTCAAACCTTGTCCAAAGTTAATGAGAATTTGTCCAAAATTACAAACAATTTGGCCAAAATTAATCAAAAGCAAGTTCAAAATGACTCGAAACTTGTTTAAACTGACTTAAAATTTGACCAAAGTGTCTCATAACTCGTCCAACACGAACCAAGTTGTGTTCAAAATGACTTAAATGTGTCTAAAATAACTCCAAAGTGTCCACAATTATTGAAAAATATGTTTGAAGTGAGTCAAAAACACGTCCGAGTCACCAGCGGCTTCAAGAGTGAACACAACAGTCTTCATGCACCGACAGCATCCGAACATTCAGTGGATGACTGACAGAAGTTTACATCCACTAGGATTACGATGCCTTCAAACTATGTGGGAAAGCCCAGGTGATGATGTCATGGCTTTGGAAGCTTTTACAAAGTTAAC